GGGTGTGGGACAGCGGGGACAGCGGGGACAGTGTGTCACCGGGTGTGGGACAGCGTGTCACCTCGTGGAGACACCGCGCATCAGCCCCGCCGCTGCGGGGACAGCGGGGACAGTGGGGACAGCGGGTCACCGGGTGTGGGACAGCGGGGACAGCGTGCCACCGGGGTGAGGGGACACTGGGGACAGCGTGGGTCACCGGGTGTGGGACAGCGTGTCACCTCGTGGGGACACCGCACATCAGCCCCGCTGCTGCGGGGACAGCAGGGACAGCGGGGACAGCGTGTCACCGGGTGTGGGACAGCGTGTCACCTCGTCACCGGGGTGAGGGGACACTGGGGACAGCGGGTCACCTCGTGGGGACAGCGTGTCACCTCACAGGGACACTGGGGACACCGCGCATCAGCCCCGCTACTGCAGGGACAGCGTGTCACCGGGTGTGGGACAGTGTGTCACCTCGTGGGGACTCGGCCTGTCACCAGGGGTGTGGGGACAGTGTGGGTCACTGGAGTGCGGGGAGAGCGTGGGGCACGGGGACACCATGCCACCTCGCGGGGACACCGGGGACAGCGTGGGTCACCGCGGGACACGGGGACACCGCGGGTGCAGGGACACCGGGGCGTGTCACCTCACGGGGACATCCCGTCACCTCACAGGGACACTGGGACACCTCACAGGGACACCGTGTCACATCCCACAGACACCCTGTCACCTCACAGGGACACCCAGCATGGCCTGGGGACACCCAGGAACAGCTCTGGGGGACATCCGGGGTCACTTTAGGGACTCCTGGAGTGGCTTTGGGCATCCCTGGGGTGGCTTTGGGGACATCTGGAGTGGCTTTGGGGACATCCGGCGTAGCTTTGGGCATCCCTGGGGACATCTGGGGTGGTTTTGGGGACATCTGGAGTGGCTCCAGGCTCCCTGGGCTGGCTCTGGGGACATCTGGGGTGGCTCTGGGGACATCTGGGCCGGCTCTGGGGACATCTGGGGTGGCGGGGGTGGCCCTGTCCCCAGCGTCACGCACCGGTGCGGTTCAGCGTGGCCATGCTGGCCACGGCCTCCTGGTAGGCCAGCTCCACCTCCTCGCGCGTCACCACCAGCTTGATCTTGTTCCAGCGCTCGGGCTGCGGGGACAGCGGGGTGGGGACAGCGTCAGGGACACCCTGGGGACAGCCCCGAGGTGCTCCGGGTCCCTTTGGGGACAGCGGGGGTGGCTTTGGGGACACCTCAGGTGGGTTTCAGTCCCGTCGCGGCTCCTCTTGGGGACGCCCGGGTGTGTCCAGACCTGTCTGGGGTGTCCTTGGGGACATCTGGGGTGGCTCTGGGTGCCCCCGCGGTGTCCCCCTGTCCCCCCCGGGTGGCCTCGGTGTCACTCACCATGTCCAGCCACTGGTGGGCGGTGACAGCCATGTGTGTCCCCAGGGGCTTGGTCAGCACCAGGACGTCCCCGGGCACGGCGCTGTCCGGCCTGGCCAGGGCTGGGGTCAGCGTGGGGGACACGCCCGGCCCAGGCCCCGCCCCCTGTCCCCAAACCCCGCCCCC